AAGTTCACGTTGCCTTTAAAACAAGCATGCAGTGAATGTTGAACATTTTGTACAACCCCAGTTTTTGCCTGCATCCTTGCCACACTTATGTAATAGTTACACCAACCAGGACAATATGCTGTTAAACTCACTGAGGGAGATACTGTCTGGACAAAGTTTGTTTTGAGAGTAGTTATCAATTTATCTTTAAGACCAGACATTAATAACATATTCTACATTTATTTGCTATTAGTACAGGAGTTCTGGCAACATAACCCATTCACCAAGCACCAAGTATGCACCGTGTACATGTTTGCTTTGAGTGTCCTCTCCAGGAGAAGCTCCCTACACGTCCCTTTTCTCCTTCCCCTCCCAGGAATAACGCACGCAGAGCACACAGCCTGAGCAGCCAGGGCAGTCACTGCAGCTCTGCACACAGACTAAACGAGCAAAACACAAAGTGCGTTAAACAAGTGTCCCGGTGACCTACGCTGCTGCAATGCACGGAGTCCGGCCACCCCTTCCACCGTGGCTGCAACACCTGGGAAGGAGAGGGATAAATCTGCCGAAGCCTTTCCCGAGGTTTCTCTTTCCGGACCCTACAAACGGGGCGAGGGCAGTGGCTCCGTAAAGTGGCTGAGCAGCTCGGGCAACAGCGGCCATCACACGCCCCAAGGGCACCCGCTGGAAACGAGAGAGCTCTCTGGAAAACACCAACATGCTGGTTTCAGAGATGAGACTGGAAGTGCCTGAAGGGTTTTTTGGTCAAGATAAAGAGTGTTATCAAGCACAGTTCAAACTGGCTTTGTACATCTGGAGTAAAGATATCCTAATCTGGTACCTTTCTAGCTTCTGGGAAACCCGACGTACAATTAGTGGTTTTTTTAGATCAAAAGTGGAAAAGAGAGGAAATAATACAAAGTGAGTTAATGAAAGATTGCCACTGGACACATGAAAGAGACCACTTGGAGAGAACCAGTCCTATGAGACTCATGACGTGAGCTACACGTCCTTGAAGACATAAAGAACAACATTCGGGTAATCTTCCCTCGGATCCATTTGTGAATGAGGCAAGTTCCATTACACCTGCTGTACGAGCTGATTTAAACAGGCTTTTAAGGTTTTGCTTATAGCAGCACGTTACTATCAGATCTAAAGATGGGCAACCACACAGCAAAAGGCTTAGCAAAGCTGCAGGTGGATTTTGGGCCAAGGCAGTAATCGTAATGCACCGGCCGGGAACCCTGCTTGCTGAGCACGGGTGAAATGCGCTTCGGATAACTGCGGAGCCAGGGGAAAAGCTTCCTTCTTCCTCCCCCTTTCCCTCCGAGGCACAAAGGCTGGAAAGGGCTGGTACCCCGGGCAAGAACATGACCAGCCATGAAACCTTGGGGGAAGCTGGCGAAGGGAAGGATGCGGGAGCAGAGCCACACCGAGCACGGTCCCTACGTCAGGCGATGGCAGCTACCGTTACCATGGAAACGGCACCAGATAACCCAGGCTGAAAACATCCACAGCCCGTTTCTAACAGAAACGCCTGGCCACTAAAGATGCTACGGATATCCACAGAGCTTGCGTCATTTCATTATACTCACGTTGACAACACAATACCAGTGAAATTCACTCCACAGCAACCTGTAGCCCAAAGGAATTTCTCTCCCTAGCCGGCACACGTCAGCCACACCGCACGGTCTGAACGGAGCCGCTGTGGCTCGGGCCCACAGAGATCTTCTAGAAATCAGGCAGGGTGCAAGAGTAACTGGAATGTAACCGGGTTATAAACTGAGTTGAGAACAAATACAAAAATATCCGCACTCGCTGCTTCCCCACGAGGCTGCAAATGTCAGACTGTCTTCCTCCTCTTGGATCGCACTGGTATGAAAGCAGTTGTGGTGGGTACACCGGGTCTGTCCCATGGATGAGCAGAACTGACCCACACAGAGACACGATTCCTCCAGGGCCCAGCAAGGGTGGCAGGGAGCTGCCCTGGGGCCAGAGAACAGCATTTCCTGATGGAGCTTGCAAAGGTGAGCTCACTGCTCCATCCTCCTTGCTCAAGGTGCTACGCAGGGGTGTGAGACTGTCTCCCCTCTCATCACACACATTGCCTGTGGTCTCAGGGTGGCCTCAGGGCAGGAAAGGGACCCTCCCACCCACTGGGTGCCGACTCCATAGAGTCAGCTCCCACATAAGCTCCTCCAGCAAATGAACCCTACGCGGCACGAGCTGCTCTCCTGCCCAACTGCACCCTACAGATTGAATCCAGGACCATGCGGACACCGTTTCAAGGGCTCATCGGGCTGTGAGGAAACCCGTTCAGGCTCAACACCCTGCAGTAACTTTATATGAAAAGCTTCCTTCTGCTGAAGAGATGATGCACTTAAGCTCTGTTCAGAGGTGCTGCAGCCCAGCACGAGTCTGAACAGCGAACGTGGAGCCTGCCACCTCAATCCTGGAGTTTCCTGCCTTCACAAACCCCACGTACTGTAACTGGGAGGCACCTAAGGGTGTGGGAAAAGGGGCACACGCTATTTAATTGGTGCCTTCAGCCATTTAAGGCCTAGGAGAGCTAGGGAACGTTCAGCTGCTGACGTAGACAGGCCCTGAAAATCAACTACCATATATCTAAGAGACTCTTGCAAAACTCAACCTTGCAGGAGAGTAAAATGATTCACAAGAATTCCCTATTTATAACAAAGATTCGCTGAAAGTGACTCATGTACTGAGCCAATCTAATTTTAAATAGAAGGGAAAAACCTCTTGAAGAGGCACATGAAGCTGTAGTGGGGGAGGGAAGAGAACTGCACACACAGGAGAGCCCCAGCCAGGAGCTGTTAGCCAAATCTACTGGAAACAGTTTCTCCATTCAATTAGCTGAAGTGAGAGCAGAACACTCAGCTTCACCTACTTCTGGTTCAGAGTTAATTAAGTCCTGCATTCAAAGCAGCTGCAGGTTGGAATACTTCCTCGGGATAGGTGGGATCGCGGGGCAGTAATAAGGCAGCTCATGGAGAGTTATTAGTTCTTCAGACCCTAGAGATTCAGAACACAAAACCAACCGGAATCACAGCAGGAGGGAGGGAGAAATATTAAGAAGATTTTACAGTATCGCTAATTTTGTCCAAGCAGATTCTAACAGAAATAGCTGCCGCCCCACTACCCCTTACATCAACACTGCAGCACATCGTACAGAATGTAATTTCAAAGACAGAGAACAGACACACAACACCGGGAGCTCTCTAGATCAAGCAGGCAGCCTGCAGCAAGGGCACTGGCTCAGGGCTCCTTCACCTGCTCCTACCTCGGGACCGTTCTCCTCAGTTACTTTTTCTCCTCTGTATAGTCCAAATATACAGCAGACATAACCACAAGCTAAATGGAGGAAATGGCTACAGTCTATATTAACAGCAATAAAGCATTAGCCAGAAAACGTGGCCAAATCTTGCATTCCTGCACTGAATATAGAGGGATGAGTAAATTCTCCAAAGCTGTAAGATAACCTGGAAACAGCAAGCAGGCTAGTAAAAGGTTTGCCTTGCGTACATAATAACCACACACAGCAGAGTGGGTTGGAATTTCAATGTGGTGACAGGGAGAGGTTACTGATCTCTGACTCCGGGTTTCAGCAACGTGTGTTACTCCTTCGTCTAAACAGTCCACTTATCTCCAAAGCCAAATCTAACTTCCACTCTTCTTAACCTCTCCGCTGTCATCAACACATAACTGGGTTGGCTTGACTGCGAAGGCTCCAGCCTGTGAAATCCAGAAGTGTTTAGGTGATGGCTGTTCTCCAGTCATCCTCAGCATCACTCCCAGTTAAGTCTTCAGTTTGAAGCACAAAGAGAAAGCAGCCAAGAATTCACAGGCCAACATACATATTTACAACTGTACGTAGCTTTAATTCTCAGCAGTATCTTGCTGTGATGTTTCTACACACACCAAAGTCTGATGAATAGTGTTAAATTTTTAAATGCCCTAGTAAATTATGGGCTAGATTTCAGAACTGTTGAGCCAGCATTCAACAGTTCCCTTTCCTGACCGAAGCAGCTACGTCTCCAGAGGAGTACTGGGGGTCCACTTTTGGGAGCTGACCTCTGCTGAGAACCCAGCACTGGACCATCCACCCACCCACACCGGGTCTGCTTCACTCCATCATCACCACACACACACCAGTCTCAGTCTGCAGGGACCAGGCAAGTCACCACCAAATTTTAGAATTTAGTCCGACTGATCAATTCACGGAGTTCCGAAACACCCGCTGCCCCTGGTATATATGATGTTAGCTCCAAAGAAATGTTATTTTCTTGCTGATTCTTGGTAATGTGACTTCCAAAATACAGTCAGTGAGGAAGTGTCACCAACATAATGGTTCGCCGATTACACTGAAAAATATACAAGAACGTCCACAATGTCAAAGCCTAGAGCTCAACCTCTCAAATGCACCGTTTCTGCAACCCGGCATCCAGTGCTCAGTGGGGAGCGGAGGGGTGTCGTGAAGATCTAAAACATGCCAATTAGCTGGTGGCATGATGCTGGGTAGAAAAGTCACTGAGACTTTCATTGTTTCTCTTCTTTTTATTAAAAAAAAGGCAACAGCTCTTTCAATGACTTTCGGGGCTGGATTCTGCCTATACTCAAACTCAAACCTTATTCTTCAAATACGGCGAGACAACTTACAGAACAAAGTACTTTCAGCTAGAAGGTAGCTGCCTGATGTTAACCCACGACTTTGGCAATTTGACTCTTCTGGCAGTTACTCTCCAGGTTTACCTCCAAATACATTTTATTTAACCTACTAGTGCTTCCTAGTAAACCACTTTGTTGTTCTGGCTTGGTACTTGTGTTTTGCTAAGAGTTACTTTTTTACTTGTAAGGTAGCAATGCAAAGAAAGGGTGACATGGGCCTGAGCTCCATGATTTGGAATATTTAAATCCCTGCATTTACCTCTGACAGCAGAGAAAATATGTTTCTACAGGAAAAGTAAGATCATGTAGCGCTAGCTCTTTTGTGTGCCATTTACCACATAAGGCGATGATGTGGCTGCTGTCCTCATGTACAAACTTCCGGGTGACAGCTTCTTCCATGATCTGCTTTACCTAAAAATAAACAGAAAGAAGGGATTGTAAGATCCCAGCACAAACCACCACAGCACCTGAGAGTTTCAGTTCAACCTCTGCTTACCCTTTCCCCATTGCCGACGGACTAACATCTCACCTGAGCTGCATTTCGCAGGGAAGAAGCATTTGAGGAGGGAAAGGAAGGACAAACCTGAGCAGCTTCTCATGGGGTGAGGGAGCCCCCGGTAGAACAGGGACAGGTCTGTTTGGGGTAGGCCCCTACGAAAGGCTGAATTATTTCAGCGTGCCCACAGTGTCCTCTGCAGACCTTCCTCAGCAGGAGTTCCGCAGGGCTGTGCAAAACCTTTTACATGATTCATCCTTGGCCTTCCTGCGTATAGTCACTTCTGATCACGAAACAAGATTATATATTGCCATGTCCTCTTTCCGCTTGTGGCATTCTGCTCTTTTTTCAAGCAGAAAGAATCCCTGAGCTACACAGGCGTGCATCCCGAGGGAGGTTTACAGCAACCTCTCCCCCGTTTGGGGACTTCACATGCCACAGGAATTACAAACTGTGCTCCCGAAGCTCTGCTGCACCGCACACCACACAAAAGCAACACAGTACCCACAGGGAAGACAGTGCCTTCAGTTTTTTGCTTCTAGACACAGTTGAACAATTACAGCAAATGAAGTTCCATTTATCACACTTCTGACTGATTTAAAACAACGTTTCTCTCCAGTTTCCAGGCTGATGTGTCAAGATCTAGAGGGGATTCATTGCAGATTACTGACTTTCAAAAATTAAGGGAGAAAACAGGCAAATTTTACAATTATGCTCTTGAAGAGCAACCGCAGTTACCCTCCATTCATTTGCTGGTTTATTCCTCCCCCGGTGGCTTCCTCAGCCTGATACCAGACAAAACCTATTTGCCTCGACCAACTCATTCATCAGGCACTCATTCCTTCCTGGCCACAGAGCACCTGCTTTTCCACATACAAATCCACCATCATTTTTGGCTTCTCTCATCTGAGAGCTATAATTTCAGGGTTAGGTCGCTGTGCCTAAATACGCCACAATATATGAAAGCGAGTGCTACTGTGGCAGCAGATTTAACGAGATACTCTCTTCTTCCAACTTTTTTTTGAACTTGAAAATAATTTTTACAGCGGTCCCTGGGATGCAACAAATAGTGAATTATCTGGCCAGTGATCAGTGTGTGGCTACCAACAAGCTCAGCAGCACGGCCTGAACACCCGCGTGGCCTGACCCGCGCGCCAGCACAGGCTGCACAGCGACGGCCACCACCAGCCCGCGCGCCAGGGTCCGTGCCCCCCAACTGCGCCTTCAGCTCTCGGCAGCCGGCACCTGGCACCCGAGATAACCCGTTCAAAGCTAGCCGGGTTATCGCTTTGCCACGCCAACAGGTCCAAAGGTTTTAAGCCTTCCCGCTCGGCGCTGGAGCCAGGAGACGGTGCAGGTGCGAGGCTGGATCTGCAGCTGGGCTCTCTGCGCGCACTGCTGGGATGATTCCCCGCTGTCGAGGGCTTCCTCCTCCCGTAAGATCATCGGAGAGGCCAATTCTGGATGCTGCAATCAAGCGTGCCTTCGCCCTGGTAATCAGCCTGAGGCCTCCATGCCCACTCCTACGCACCCGCCACGGCTGGCAGCAGTCTGCAGCTCCAGCACCTGCTGCTGCAGGAGCCTCTCAACACACGGCGTTCTCCTCGCCCCAAATTCTGCATCGAGTTGATCCTTCGGGATTTGGGCTTCTGAACAAACAGGAGCCCTCTCCTTTGCAAAGAAAACTCTGGGGTGGGGGAAAGCATGCAAGAGCTTTTCAAAGCACAAGAGACTTTGAAACAGTATGGGTTTTTTATACCTGAGGACTCCAAAGCAGGTCTTTTGCATTTTCTAAAACCTGGCTCACTGTTGACACACTTCCAACAAGGCGATTTGTTTCTTTCCTATGGGATTTCTGACATTCAGAACTTTGGACCTTACAGTAAAGCAGTGGGCAGCAGCAGAGTAAGAGGATATCAGGAAAGAAGAAAAGGTGGGAGAAGATCTCATGGATAGGAACTCACACAGGAAGGATCTGGATTATCCTGTTCACCCAGCAATCCCCTTCCCACATTTTTATTTGCATCGTTTATTTACAAGTTTGGTGTCTGTCTGACTTGGCAGGAACCCAACAAAACTTGTTCTAAACCTCACCCAGAGGTTTGAAATCATCCCGTTAACAGCACCTCGGGAGAGCACAGCTCAGCCAAGGGACGGGGCCCGGACAGCTGCGCAGCTCTGCCCACTGAAATTCCAGCTCAGCCCCTGACCTGCTTTTCCACACGTGGGAGGCAGCGTGTTGGCCAACACAGCCTGCATGGAAGCACAGAGCCCGCGGCAGCCGCTGCCGCCAGGCCACCTCACCTCTGCCTCAGCCGACCCCTCTGTGACAGACGAACCGTGACCCAACCTTTGCAAGCTGTTCTGATTTCACTGGATGAAAACTGTATTTAATCTACTAAATGAAAGGCCTGACTTCCTAAAGGGAAAAAGTATCTCTGCGTGCCCCTAGCGTTAAGGTGGACAGAAGAGGAAGCACGAGCGCGCTGCACCGGGGTAAGTCGTGCACATACGACTCGAGTTCAGAGACGTGAATTCGGGCACCACTCAGGACCGCAGACTGATTCCAGCCTCAGCTCCCCGGGGAACAGGAACCAGACTTCAATTCCTGATGACAAGGAGCAGAAAAGCCATTTACTAGGAGCACAGCTCTGGGGCTCAGAGGCCAATCTCCCACTGCCGCACGTTTCCCAGGCATACCCCAGCCATTAGTCTTCCTTAGCTCACTACGTTATTTAGATCCCAGTTTGTAGCCTCGGGAGCAAAACGTTTAAAGCATATAAAAACTTAGACAGAAAAAGGCTTCAGATGCAATAATCAACCCTACTTTTATACAGCAGCACCATATGGTCAGCCTGTCAGCAGATTTTGAATCCAGGCCCTCCGGAGCTAAAGAGGACAGAGCGGGCAAGCAGGCAGTGTCTGTTCCCAGCTGCCACTGAATGCAGAGCAACCTCTGCACATTTTCTGGGGAGTCAGTGTGTGATATTAGAAAACATTTTCAGGGCATAGACGGTAGACGTGAGGATTCAAAAGCAAGAATGCAGTGTTCTTCAATCCCACGTCATTCCTCACTGCCACGTAATTCAGGGATGCTCCAGGCGAGGAGCTAAATCAAATGTTTGTGATCAAATGGAACACAAGCCTTTTTCTTTTTCCTTTTTTTTTATAATCTTGCAATTTTGTGCCGCTCTCTTTGTAGGGAATTATGCTGTTGTGTCTCTGTATTCTGGGGAGGCACTTGTCAATGAAGCTTTCTGAGCATAAGCCTACACAGACACCCACTTGCAGACCTGACCAAAATTCAAATCAGTTTGAGCCACCCGGTCTAGGGGATAGCGTCCCTGCCCACGGCAGGGGGGCTGGAACGACATCATCTTCAAGGCCCCTTTGGACCCAAACCAGTTTGCGATTCTAATCTCACTGAAAGAAACATCGAGAGCCCGCTGCCGCGCTGCATTCACCCACCCCTGCAGAGACAAAGAGATGTGCTCAGCCTCCTGGGGGGCTGTTTGTGCCCGGGATGGGGGGCTGCCTCCTCCAGCTGCACCCGCAGCTCTGACAGAGGTGCCAGGAGGGGAACCCGCTCAGGTGGGGAGGAGATGGCCGAGGTGTGACACAGGCTGCCTCCGCCGTGGAAACACCCGTCCTGCCCTCCCTGCTTCCTCTGCAGGATCAGCTGTTCGTGCACCCCTCCCAGGCGGCACAAGCACGCAGAAAAGCAGCAAGTGCATCAGCTTCTGGGGGTTTCAGTCTCTCCACACACCAGAAGTCAGTCGGCCTGCACCAAGGGCACCGCAGAGCCGCGCACGCCTCAGCACTGGGCTCCCAGCCCTTCTGCTCGCCCTGGGCAAGGGAAGGGGCTCCGCGAGCACCACGTCTGCCAACCACCGCAGAGCAAGGATGGGAACTCTCTGCCTACCCAGCAAAGACCTCGGCATCTGGGGCGCGAAGAACATGCTGGTGGTAGCACTGTGCGGGTGAAGCAAAGCAAGCTCCTCGAATAGAAGCTGATAAGCGTCTGCCCAGTGTCATAAAGGGTCACTGCTCTGACTTTCTCCTACAGAAGTCAAAACTTTCAGAAGCAAACACCAAACACAGGTCATAATACGTGGATTATTTAATAAGTTTCACCAAGGAAAAATGGGAAAAATGTCTTTATGTTTGATCTTTTAATTTTTGTTTTAAGGAAGCTTTAAAACCAGAAATAAACAATTCTGCAGCAACCTGCTGGTGTAAGAGATCAAGAAAATGAAGACGACTAAGACATGACACGCACTGACTGTATCCTAGTTTATTCACGAGGCTGGAAGAGACCCACAGGTGCTGCCTTTTCCATCCCTCTGCTGAGTTCCTGGTCCACTCCGATGAGCACAGAGAGTTAGGACTTGCCTTACTGCAATTTTGCTCAACTGTCACAATGACGGATTTCTGACCAGGGCTGACCAGCACATCTCAACAGATCTGTAACCTCCAGGGTTAAGAATGACCTTTCAAACCAGCACCACTCTCCCGGAATAGAGGTTGCAGTGCTTTCCCCAACCACGCATCACGATGGGAGGCTGGAGATGCACCATGGGGAAAATGTAATGTCAGAGACAAAGAGCAGTGCTCATAAAACACTGGAACAGCCAGGATCACAGTTAAAACCCACTGCATCTTTTCCTTAAAGGAGAAAAATCTCACGTCCAGAATCTGCGCCATCTTCAGTTTGTGTAGTTAGTGTTCATCTCCTCTATTGATCACTCCTGCTGCACTGACTCTTCGTTACCCTTGATGAGAAATTGGGTGGTGCAATAAGAGCTGTTAAATAAGTACTGTACCTCAGCTCAGAAGTGGTTGCATTTTAGTTGTAAGATGAGCAACTGCGTTCCTGAAGTGCTCTGAAATTTTTCAGGGTGAAACTGCTAA